TTTTCAATTTTTTTTTTTTCATCTGACCATATGGGTATTATCCTATGTTGGTAGCTTTTTTCCATTTTTTTTTTTATTTGATGCACTAGATGAGCAATTATGAATGTTATTTGTATTTTTTTTTTTTTTTTAGAAAAATGGATCAAAATTGCTTCTTTCGAGTATTGCATGTTCCTTCTAATTGCAACAATTGGGTCTTGCCGGTATTGATTTTCACTTTTGGAACATTTTTCTTAGTGATTATTCAGTAGTTCCATTGAAAACTATGTATTAGGAGTTGCTAATTAAAAGAATTTGTGATGGTGTATCGAAACAAAAAAGAAAAGAAATTGATGCTCATTTCCGAAATGGACTGATCGTGCAAGAGGGATTTCTATTTTCTAATTTGTATGAGTCTATGAATGACCTAATTAATGAGGTCTTTGTTTAAAATTTTTCTCAAAACTAATACTAAATCTACTATTTGAAGTTGCTTATGTATATTTCCACTGTTTTCAGGATGTGGGAATTCATATTTTGATTGCTGCTATTTAAAGAACCAAAAAAATTGGCCTTACTACCTACATAAATTATAGCCGCCTACATTTACCTTTCTTTTATTTTCAAGTCTCAAACCTAACCTCTCAACTCACACCATTTTCAAAGTTCAGACCTCTTTTATGTTAGGAGAGGAGGTAGATGCCAGAAAAATAAAATCAGTAACTGATGTCGTTTCGTAAATTCGTGTTTTTAATTTGAGCTAGAATGTGACATTTTTTAAAACTTTTAACTGTAACAAAAAAATTAGATGTGACATTTTCTGAGAGCTTTTAATTGTAGAAACTTAAAATTGAAAACTCGAATCGTTCAAATTAATTAAGCCTGAATTATTGAAGCAATGACAAGGACCAAGAAGCTACCAGAAACCATATTCATTCATGATTTTGTTGTATTTGTCTAAGAAGGGAATCATAGTTTTGGCTTTATTATAGACCTTTTTATTACTTTAAAAATGAACAAAGACGGTAGGATAAAGGTACTAAGCAAATAGACAATGGGAATTGGCCATTTAGCAAACACAAGGCGCCAATATAGATAACTACAAATTCATCTTTTCTCTGCTTTGTTTATCCATAAGAAACGGCACCAATTGTTAAGAGAGACGAAGCTTCCACTTTCCATTAGCAAATTATTGGTGTGACTTTGTGTAGAGTACATATGAAATGACTAATATTTGGCGCATCAAAATTTGAGCATTGACTGAAGGTTTTTTTTTTTTTTTGGGTACTTTTTATTTGTCACACAAACCAAGCACAAAAGTATCATTCATGCTTATCCTTCTAATAAATGGAAATATTCATTTTTGTAGGGGAAACGTGTAAAGATTGGAGGAAAAAAAAAAAGGTGGGGACAAAGCGTGTAAAGATTAAAGGCAAGTCTAGGCTATGTATTGACTACGGAAGTTTCCTTTTTTTTCTTTTTTTTTTTCCCGCTAAAACTACGGAAGTTTCTTTGAACGCACAGCAACGTTACTAAATCCAATATTCCAAAAAAAAAAAAAAAGAAAAAAAAAAAAGAGAGAAACAAACAAAAATAATGAATCCTTTACTTGCTAGGGCTTATGCAATTTATGCCTTCTTTCAATTCCACCATTTAAATGTTGTTCAGTAGTTAAGTGTGTTCCTTTGTTTGTTTTCTATTTGAATGCACACCGAGTCAAAAAAATTTCAGTTTGATACCATGCAAATAATAATAATAATAATAATAAAATTAAACAAAGTTTTTATTAAATGCCGAAATAGTAAAATATTAATTATTGAGTGCTGCTGCAGTAATAATTATTCTTAGAGAGATACATATTAATAATTTAATGAGATCTTAATTATTATTTTTCTTATAAAATGAAGTAAAATTTGAAAGTTGGGTGGAAACATGTGCTCAGTCATTTCAAGACATTATTCAAATGAATGGTTTTTTTTTTTTTTTTTTTAAAGTGAAAACTTGCATTTATTCCAAAAAAGGCTAAATCAGCTTGAACAATACACTGATGAATCTAGAACAAGAGTCTAATAAAAACTGTGAACACATCGAGAAAAAATAGAGTTTGCTAACATGTGGGTTACAAAATTTTCATAACGGGAAATAGAGCAAACAAAACCACAATGATAATGGTTCGTAGCTCGTTACAGTATTTTTTTCATAAAAAACACACGTAAACTGAAAATAGTTATGAATCATAATTTTGAATCCGTAAACTAAACATCCACTAAAATTCTGAAAATAATATCATGGATAATGTTTGAATTGGATGAACGAGAAGATAGACTTTGAATTGCACGAATCACAATTATCGCGTCCAATTCTATCACCCAATTAGAGAAACCTTGAGCTTGAGCTGGGAGAACCGCTTCCCAGACTGCCATGCATTCCGCAATGTGGGGAAAAAAAGGTACCAAAAAGACGTTTAGCTACAGCTGCTAAAACCTGGACATTAATGGTTTATGTCAAGGAAGCATGAATATTGACTTTTGAGGAGAACGAAAGAAAATGGGGGAAAACGTAACAAACAAAAGCAAAAAAAAAAAAAAAAAAGCAAAAAAAAAGAAAAAAAAGAAAGCATGTAATACGTACGAAAGGAAAAACAAAATTTGTTATGTGGTGGTTAGTGGTTTGTGCTTACTTTAAATGTTTCTTTGTCGATGGCAATGTAGATTTTTACTAATCATGTTAAATAATTATACAACTGAAAATGTGATTATAAAGTTACTACGTTGTTATATTTTTAAAATATTTCAAAAACTTTGCTATATTTTAATTCTACTAGATCAAATCTCATAGTTTTTACAATAGGAAAAGGAGAAAAATTTCTCTTAAAAGTTTGGACTAGCTAAACAAACTGACTCGAAACCCGATACTGTTGCCAAGGTCCCAGGCCCGGTTGGGAACAAATCTCTTTTAAATTTACTCTTAAAATGACCTTATAAAGTTTGGATCCATCGGGCTGTGGAATCAAGCCAAGCCGACCCTCATACTTTTAGAGTTGGGCTGGCCCAACTAAACGTAAATAATAGGTCAGAATAACCGACCCAAAATTTATATTTAAGCCGTTGAGCCCAGGCCGAAGAGCCTGAGCTTTCACCTCTAATTGAAGCCCATATTATATCATTTTCCTCTTTCCCCTAAATTTTTTCACCTTTAGTTGAAGCCCATGTTATAACATTTTAAGATTCCTCCAGAAGGCCCAAAAGTTTATGCCCATATCCAGTTAGTTCTTAATTCTAAAGGGTTACAATTTGAGAGGACGCAATAACCATTGTTGATTGTGCTGTGATTTAGGGTTGGTAAATTTTCCGTAACATTTCTATATTATCACCGGTAAATTATGATATTTTCTTGTGACGCGAGTTTTAATTGTCTTAATTATTAAAATTTGAATGTTTTTTGTTTGTTAATTAGAATTCCTTGCGTATTAATTTTTTTTTTCTAGCAAAAGAAATATTTTTTGGAAACTCGAGAAATTTTTACCCAATCTAAGTATTTTTGTAAGATTACATTTATCACCTCCCGTTTAATTCGCTAATTTAAGTTTTTAATTCGAATTGAGATGTGATTTTATATAGCAAAAAATTAGATGTGACTGTTTCTGAGAGCTTTTTACTGTAGTAAAACTCGAATCAGTGAAATGAACGGGGTAAACTTTTAAAAAATGGAAACTCGAGAAATTTTTACACGATCTAAGTATTTTTGTAAGATTACATTTATCACCTCCCGTTTAATTCGCTAATTTAAGTTTTTAATTCGAATTGAGATGTGATTTTATATAGCAAAAAATTAGATGTGACTGTTTCTGAGAGCTTTTTACTGTAGTAAAACTCGAATCAGTGAAATGAACGGGGTAAACTTTTAAAAAATGGAAACTCGAGAAATTTTTACACGATCTAAGTATTTTTGTAAGATTACATTTATCACCTCCTAAACTTTTGAAAAATGAGTTTCGGCCTCAATATTTTTTGAATTTGTAAAGGCCTTATTTGGTTCAAAGATTCAAATTGTTGATTTAATTTGAATTGTGGTGATTTGAATTGCAGTGCATTGAATTGTGATTCGGATCGATGCTTGGATATACAAATAAATTATAATTTAAATTGAGAATAGAATCCGAACTGCGTTTGAATAAAATGTTGAAAACTGTCACTAGAGTTTTGTAACAAATCTTATAAAATCTCATTGTAAATGACATTAAAAAATGCGCAATATGAATGGAGATTTGTTCCTCTCTTCATTGTGAAAATATTAGAAAAAATCATCTCAATAAAAATTAAAACGAATAAATCATAATATTTTTAAGTTTGAAATCGAAGAAAGAGAAAAAGTAGAATCATAATTGTTTTCATTGTAAAAAATAATTATGATTGTTAAAATTTAAGAGAATAGTAAATTTTAAAATTTAAGAGTTTAAACCATTATTAATAGTTTGAATTATCTTCTATCAAACATCAATTTGAATTATGAGCAATATTTGAAACTTAAACAAACAAATAGGGCAAAAATGACCCAAACTGACACGTCCTCCCTCGGGTAGACTGCTGACCACCTTGGAGACCACGTTGTAAGTCCATTTCTTCTCAAGATCCACTTGGGGGCTCAAGCCCAACATGTCTTACATATATGAATCCCTATTCTCCCTACTCTTTCCAGATTCAGGCCCATAAATTGCAGTTAGCGGGCCTAAACAAGTGTTCGGCAAAGCCCAGTCAAAAACCATCAGCTGATTCGTGAACAGCTAAAACCTCAACACACTTGATGCCACTAAAACTCGCCACCTGTTCCATCTCACACTAATCCAACCTCCAAACACCACCACGTGTCAGACATTCCATATCCTAACCGCACCATATCATGTCGCCCCCAACCCGGTCCTCCATTTCACCCCAACACGCGCACGCTGGCTGATCTATTTTCAGTTTTCCTCTCTCCCTAAGCAAAGCATCAAAATTTTTTCTTTTATAAAAAAAAAAAAAAAAAAAAACAGTCAAAAGGAGAGAACAAAGAAAAAGCACACAAATCACAAGAGAGAGAGAGAGATCTTCCTTCTAAGGTTTCGGTTTCTCCGCAGAAAAAGCAAAAATGGCGTTGGAGTGGGTAGTTCTTGGGTACGCCGCGGGCGCAGAGGCGATCATGGTCCTTCTCCTGACGATCCCCGGCCTCAGCAGCCTCCGCAAGGGCCTCGTCGCCGTCACCAAGAACCTCCTGAAGCCGTTCCTCTCCATCGTCCCGTTCTGCATCTTCCTGTTGATGGACATCTACTGGAAGTACGAGACCCGGCCGAGCTGCGAGGCCGAGTCGTGCACGCCGTCGGAGCACCTCCGCCACCAGAAGTCCATCATGAAGAGCCAGCGCAACGCCCTCCTCATCGCCGCCGCCTTGATTTTCTACTGGCTCCTCTACTCCGTCACGCACCTCGTCATCAGGATCGAGCAGCTCAACCAGCGCGTCGAACGCCTCAAGAATCGCGACTGAGTGTTAGGGTTTGTGATTTGATATTTTCCAATCGAATTGACCTTTTCTTTCTGTGGTACTACTGTGTTAGGTTTTGTTGTTTGGTTGCGTTCCAATCGGATGTTTTCTATGGAGTACTCGAAAATTTTTTATTGTATCTGCTTAATTTCAGTCGAAGTTAATGGAGGATTTTCTTCGAAAATGTGTTTCTGATAGATGAAAAGGTTATATCAATAAAACACGCGTTTCGATCTATATCGTGGAATTTTCGTTGTTTTTTGGATGTTAGGTTTTGTGATTTGGTTGCGTTCGGATCTGTTTCGATCTTTAGAATGTTCACTTTTGTTGTGTATCGCACTTGCACCTGTACTTAGGGCATTTTGGCTCCTAATTTGTATTTGGGGCTTCTATTCTGACGGAACCAAATGAATCTGGATAATGAAAATGGTGTGTTATTCTGAGCATTTGAATTCATTTTGGGGGAAAATGTTTAATTCAGTGACGAAATTTTATTGCAATTGGGGGTTTTGGCTCCTATTTGTATTTTGGGGCCTCCATTTTGATGGAATCAATGCGTTATAGTGGGGGTTGGCTGTTCATTTCCTGTCTAATTACTATGTGACATTGTTGAAGCAAATCGTTCTTGCTTCTGAGAACGTGATTGAGTTTGTTTTGTGTTAGAAGTTAGAATCATAAATTGATTTGTGCGTTGCAGATGCTGGATAAATGTAACTTGATACGTGATTCATGATTGCTTATGACTTATAGTAGACATGAATTAGGGGGTCAAATTCAAGCTCTGGCTTGGCGTTATGTGTAGGTTAGGAATATTTTGTTTTGGAACTCTGCTTTAGTTGTTGGTTCTTGAAGCATATTAATTAATTCTCAAATTATGATTTGTGGGTTTCAGCTTTTAAGTTTTCGGAATGATGTTGCATTAACTTGGTAGTCTGGTTATTGGAATCACATTCGTAATGCAACTTTCCAAATTCGAAATCCATTTGTTGTTGGCCTCAACACGATGCAAGAATAGGTCTAGGACATTGTACCAATGAGTTTCTTTGTCCTTTCCAATTCAGTTCCCCTTCCCCCTCTTTACAGATGCCCCATTGTGGGTTATATATTGTTATTGCATCTTGGTATATATCTAGGTAGCCCTGACTGGTTACCGTTGAAGATGTGAACTTTGGCTATATTTTTGGCTTGATTTCCTTTCAAGTTATTGACTAAAGATGGTAATTATAGCTTGCTCATATGTTGTTATTGAATACTGATCTATTCATCTAGTTAGCCCGCTCTGGGTAGTGGGTACTGTTGAAAAATGTGGTCTTTGGCTAATTTTTTTTCCATGAAGTAATTACATAAAACGTCTACTATGAAATGTTTGAATCTAAAAATGTCTACTGTTACACAATATTACAAAAATGTCTGTTTGGTATAAATATTGGACTTGTTATACCTATTATACCCCTTTGCTATATTTTGAGCACTTTCCTTACATAATTAAGTGTATATCCTGATGCATTTTATTTTCCGGTTTCTTTTTTTATTTGACATTGCCTTTTTTGTTGGGGGGATAATTAATACGATATTTTTGTGATTAAATGACTTATTGAGTTGACTGATTTCATTTTCCCTTCCATATTTATAGTTTGAATTTTAGTTTAAAACTCAATTATGCTCAACGTTTCAGTTCTGCTCCATATTCACTCATTTTGCCTTCCTATTTGCTTGGTTTTTCTTTCCACCAGGTTTGCTTGTCCCTTTTTTCTCGTTTCCTGCAATTCTTTTTCTTTTTGTTCTGTTTTAGAGGTCCTTTTTAAGTTCATGGACGATTTAAATTTTTAGTTATCAAGTTTTTAGTTGAGGTCTGCTTTGTTGTCTTCTTTTTCTCTCATTCTCTTTTTCTGTTTGTGTTGAGGTGGGTGTATTCTTTGTTGTTTGCTTTAATATTTCTATTATGTTTTTGATGTCTTGTTTTTTCATTTTTCTTTTATTTTTTTGTTTACACTTGTTCATTTTCATTGTTGTAATGATATCATTACAACAAGGAAAATGAATTTATTTTTCTTCGTAATGACATTATGATTATTACATAAATCATCAATCTTTACATTATTGGTTTTATTTTGTATATAAATTTTATATTCTTTTTCATAATTATTATCACTCAACAGCTTGTTTATATTATTTTATTCATTCTGATTCATTATTATGTAATTATCATTCAAATAGTGAATGTGTGAATTAATGAAATTGAGCTTTATTTTTTCCCTTACAATCATAAAATGTCTTTCTTTATGTGTTTATTTATTGTGTATACTCGTGTTGTTTCAATTTTTTTTCATAAACTTTTATATTCAATCTGTTTCATAATGACATCTCTATTAAAATAATGAAATGCATTTTATTGAGTATATTTTCATATTTCTAATGTATTACAAGTTATATTTCACAATGACATCTCTATTAAAATAATGAAATGCATTTTATTGAGTATATTTTCATGTTTCTAATGTATTACAAGTTATATTTCATAATGATATTATCATTATGTTAATGAAAATACATACTCATTTATACATTATGGTGTTTTTTCGGTATTATATTCATTTTGATAATGAAGATTAATTTATTACATCTCTGATCTTTCATATTTTTAGATGATTACTATTTCCTTGCGAATTGTTATATTCATTATTGTTTGATCATTACAATAATAAAAAATCTTTCTTTATCATGAGTTCGTGCCTCGTGTATTCTCGTTTCAGATTTCTTACAAACTTTTATTATCATCAGTCTATTTCATAATGACTAATGACGTCTCTACTAAAATAATGAAAATGTTTATTCTTGATACATTTGTGTTTCTTATGTTTGATAAGTTCTATTTCATAATGATATTATCATTATCTTAATGAAAATGCATATTCATTTGTATATGGTGGAGGGGGTTGTGGAAGGACTTCGTTTATGGAGCTGGTGATTTTAATTTTTCTTAATCAAAAAGTTTGTTTTGTGTTTAAATGGAACGCATTTTCCCAATATATATATATATATATATATTAAGAAAATTATGTGATGCTTTTATTATTTTTTAAAGAAAGTTTACCTTTATTTAAATAGGCATCTTTCATTAAATGTAATATTCAAGTTTCATTTGACTTTCGTATTCAAAATCAAATTATGATTTTATTTTGAAGACTTTCCTATTTTGATGTTTTATTTTATTTTTTTCTTTTTCATTATTTAAGGATATAAGCGTCTTAGTGGATATTTTTGTAGATAAATAAATAAGTATACATTTTTAAATTCAGGGTGCTCAAATAAACGTTTACGTAGATAACCCTTTTTCGATGGTTTCTTTTCAAGTAAATGAGTAGAGTCGTGTCAATTATAGCTTGTTCATTTTACTTGCAAAACTTATGTTTTTTCCTTGTCTGGTTTTTTTCTTTGCTTATAAATAATAGTCAGATTCTTGAGCTGATATAAAGAAGCTGAGGTGAGTTTTTGAAAGAGCCAACATGGAAAATCGATTATTAACAATGTAGAACATGCACAAAGCAGACTAGTTTTCAACGCAAATCCTGTTTTTTCTTAAATTTATAGTAGGTTCCTTGCATTTTTTCCTCCGAATGTTTTTCCATAAATGTGACTCTCTTGGCCCTTGCCCGTGATGGTTGACATAATAGAAGTGAGCTTTAAGCATTCTAATAAGTAATAAAAATGTTGAGTTTATAAAGTGGTACAAGTTTCTTATTAGTCATTTAAGAGCATTTTTTAAGAAGTTGCGTTTTGCAGTGTTGGCCGAAATCTGTTCCGGAAGGCAAAACTTTTTAAAAAACAATCCGAACACGTAAAAACAGCTTTCGGGGCTTAGGAATGCAGAAACTGCTTCTTTCTAGTAAGCAATGTCAAAAATTCACTTCCCTCTGCTTGTTCATCAAATTAACATCAGATATTTTTGCTTAAGCAAGTTCAATGGTGCAGAGTAGATGATCAAAGTGAATGAAAGTTGTCCTTGACACTGAACCTTTGAAGCTTCAATATGACCGTTGGTGTTGAATGACCAAGAGAGGCCTAGTTGGGATGAATTTTTCTACTCAATATTTTTAGGTTTAAGTGCATAATATCCCATAATTTGGCAAATGTTTTCCGTCTCTAATATCCCTTTGACGAGGACAAGACGGCTTTTACATGGTTTCGTTTGGAAATTTTGAATGTGATAATCACACTACATGGCATAATTTCATACATTGTTTTGAAATTTTGTAAAATTTTCAAAATATTACAAATATAGTAAAATGACATAATAATTATCATAATGATATCATATTTTGTATTATAAATGATATAAAATTTTGTTATTCTTTTAATATTTTAAAATATTTGCTAAATATATACTTTGATATTCAAATTTTTACAGTCCTCATGGTCGAAACCCACTTTTGGAGAAATAAAAAACAATAAAAAGACTAAGAGAAATATGTGGTTCCACTCTCTGATCTAGGGGTGTAAGGAATCACTCCAAACTTAACTAATCCGGCCTACCTGACCCTACCCTACCCGAAAATATAGGGGTTTTTTTTCGGTCTAAAATTGGCTCAACCCGCAATGGGCGGGTAGGGTCGTGGGCCAAGCTCCATTTACCCCGTGTAACCCTACTTTACCGAAAAACACACTGAGTGTTAAAAAAAAACCCTACACCTCACCTACCTCAGCCCCAAAATTAGACTCGAAAAACTCTCTGCGCCTTCTTGGGTTGTTCTCCATTGCAGAACTGTTTTTGTTCGTGCTTCACCATAACTAGAATGAAGATCGGGTGGAATAACCGGCATTGGTAAGAATATGGGAATAACCTTTTCTTTGTTTTTGTTGTTTTTCGAGTCTAATTTTGTTTTCACTTTGATTAAGACTCTAATCTTGGTCCGTAGGATTGTAACGTGTTTGCCTAAAACTGAGAAAATTGCGTCAGCAATCTCTAGACAGAGGCCCAACGTCCAGCCTAAACTAATTAACCCGAGCCTACCTGAGGTCACTTAAAAGGTTACGGGTTTGTGGGCCGAAAAGGGTATTGCGGCTCAAAATTTCCTCAACCCGCAGTGTGCAGCTCAGCCTAATTTTTTGGCCCAACTCGAGCCTACCCGGCCGAATTACACCCCAAGGCTTATAAAAAATTCTAAAATGAAAAAAAAAAGGAGGAAGAAGAAGCTAATTTGCTGATTTGGCTTGTTATTGGAGGAGCATCAAAACTATCATCTGCAAGCATCACCGTAACTGAAAAGCGTACAAACGGAAGAACGACCAAACCGCCAATAACAATAAAATCTCTTTTGGCTCGAACAAAATCGCCAATTACCATTATTCAACTACTGCTTCTTTCTTCTCTGCTTTCCAATTAGATTTTTCTTTCCTTTTGTTCCCTCCAAAGGCCAACACTTTTTTCTCCAAGAAAATCCTCCCACTATTTTCCGAGAAAATCCTCTTTAAAGCTCCTGTTTCCCTCCTAAAAGTAGACGACTCAAAATAAAATCTTTTTGTCTTTCCTAGAAAGTTAGATTAGATTACTGATTTTACCTTTGATTTTGATTTCTTTCGCATTTTTTCTAATAAAAAGCTCACGATCAAGAAATGGACGACGTGAAAGACAAGGTCAAGGGGTTCATGAAAAAAGTCAACAGTTCGTTGTCGTCCTCATCTTCCTCTTCCGGTAAATTCAAAGGCCAAGGGAGAGTCTTGGGATCGGCTTCTTCAGGTCCTTCCAATCCGATTCCGCATCGTTCGTCGCAGATTCCCCAATCAAAGCCCCTTTCGGCTCCGAATTCGAAACCTGCGAATTCTCCGAAAACACCGAGTGTTTCCGATCAGAGGAGGTCTGATTCTTCGAATCCGGATCGAGAACCGGCTAATGGGTTCGACCCTTTTGACACGCTGATCACCATCGGGAAGAGATCTCAAAATGGGTATTCGGTGCAGGTTTTCGAGTGTCCGATTTGTGGGCAGTCGTTTAGGACAGAGGAGGAGGTTTCTGAACATGTTGAAAGCTGTGTCAATAACAACAGTGATAATACAGTTGAAAATGGGGGTTCGAATAACGAGAATGATTCGTCGGAGAGTGAGTTGGAGGCTTGCATTGGCGCGTTTCTTTCGGGAGAATTGGCGTCCGGGTCTGTTGAGATTGTGTTTAAGCTGTTGAACAACGTAGTTAGGGAACCTGAGAATGCCAAGTTCAGGAGGATTCGGATGGGTAATGCGAAGATAAAAGAGGCGGTTGTTGATGTCGCGGGAGGGGTCGAGTTGTTGGAGTTTGTGGGGTTTGAATTGAAAGAGGAGGATGGGGAAATGTGGGCAGCAATGGAGGTTCCCTCTGAGGAGCGAATTCGTTTGATAAAGCATGCAATACGATTGCTTGAACCGCAGAAAGTGCAAGAACCGGGGAGGACAAGTGACTCCAAGCCGGTAGCTTCAGTGGAGGTGGAGGAGAAGGTTGAGCCAAAGAAGATTGACAGACAGGTATGTCGGTTTCTGTTGTTGAATTGTTATTCTGTGTTTACTTTTGCAACGTTAGCGTTTCATTGGTTACTGGTTGTTCAGTTTGTGATTCTTGGATTATTTGTTGCTAAAAAAGTAGGGAAATATTAGCGACTCTGAAGTTATATGCATTAATTGATACAGAACCTTTGAATGGTGAATTCTTTAGTAGATACAGAACCTTTATGTGGTGAATTCTTTATCTTTGTATATATGGTAAAGATTCTCAAAATTCTTTATCTTTGTATATATGGTAAAGATTCTCAGATTAAGAGAAATTTCTGAAGTTAACAAGCTGATTTTTTATTCGAGAGAAAGAGAGAGCCCTATTTCAGTCACTAGACATGATGATGAACTTGTGGAAAAAAATTCCCTGCATCAGTACAACAAGCTGTCATTTTGTGATTACAAGAAAAGAGCTCTTAGGAGTTCAAATTCTCATAAGCTTTCTTTGATTTCTGCTCGAAGTGGTTTAGAAACCAAAGTAAGATTTGAGGAACTTGAGATAGTTTATTCTGAGTTGGAAACCAAAATTTGCATGAGATGTGTTTTCTTTCCCTTGACGAGTCAAGCTCGCAGGCCAAATAGTCGTACACTTCTAGTTTGATTGCAAGAGACTAGCAAGAGGACAATTAGTAAGGTCCATCATTTGAACAATGGCATTCGTGAGCAGTTTGTGGTGGCCTTATCATTTTTTTTCTCAAGATAGTTATTGCTTAAAACTCTAATATGAAGTATTTATGATCTAGTCATCGTGAGGAAGACGTTTGGTTTGGTTAGTCAAAAACAAACTAATTTAAAATAGAAGCCACATAAAAGTAAATGTGGAATGATATTTCAAATATTCTTAAGGAGGGAAATTATACGATGAAATCTCAATGACAATTATTATTAAAGTGGCCATTTTTTATATGAGTCCTCAGATGCAAGTATTGGCAAGAGCAAATTATTCCATAAACTAATCTGCTTTTCCCATATTAGGGGAAAGAACTGATCTCATATGGTTTCTTCATTATTTGACTTTCCATATTTTGAAATAAATTTGGGGTGATAGATGTGGTAATTTTGACATATTTGCAACGTAGCAGAGGAAACCAGCATGAATGCACGATGATGGTGGTGGCAAAGTGTTAAGTTTTAACAACAATTGATATGGGTGGCCGAATGGGGATGGCTATTAGTTTAGGAATGATGATACGCAGTAGTGATAAGCTTCCATTAATGCTTATGGTGGTAATGGCAATGCTAAGATGATGGAAGACAGTAAAGTGTAATGGCAACAATAGAATTATAGACGTGGTACTGTAATGGTAGGAGAAAAGTTTTATTGCTAATTCTCCAAGGAAAACGTAGTCTTTTTGCAGCACAGTAGTGGAAGTCCTTTCAAGTGTGTTCAAGGAAGGGGCACCATACAAGGGTGGAACTTCGCTCTGGTTTCATAGAGACAAATAGCACCTACGGCTTTCTTGGCTATACAACTATGTACAATTAAATGCCATACAATGGTGGAACTTAGTCTAGAGGACTTTCTTTTTGCATTTTGTATGTTGTCGTTTTTGCTCTTGCATATGATTCATGTTTAAAGTTTAATGAGGTCTGTTGAAAGTTTTTTCTTCTTTTGGTGCTTTATCATGTTTGTTAGTGTTCATAAGAGCCTTTTATGACCGTTGACTGATTCCTATTTTCTTGCATTTTTGGTTAGTTTAGACCAAGGTCTTCTTTTCTGTCCCCGAAAATGTAGCAGCAAAAATAGAGTTACCAGATTCGTTCTACAACCTCTCACTTGAAGAGGTGAAAAGAGAAGCTGAGATGAGAAAGAAAAAGTTGGCAGATTCACAGCTTTTGATCCCCAAGTCCTACAAAGAAAAGCAGGCAAAAGCTGCTAAAAGGAGGTATAAAAGAACTATTATCAGGATCCAGTTTCCTGATGGTGTGGTGCTCCAAGGTATTTTCAATCCATGGGAGCCAACAAGTTCTCTCTATCAGGTTAGTTATTCTTGGCCTTTTTTGTAATGGCTTTTATCTATCCCGAGCCTCCGTAAATGTCATTTATATGTCAAATTTATGCTTATGGTAAACGTTATTTATATCCTTTATCAGCTACAAGTTTGAACAACAATTAATCATTCCTAAACGTTGATATCTGCATGCCTGAGTTTCCAGTTTTTAGGATACATAAAATATCCACACAAAAAAATGTTGCTTGTTAAAGATTATAGAAATTTTACATTTTTGCACCTTATAATTTCCATATATATTGCTGCTCAGTATAGGTAAACTCTGCCTCTTTTAGGAAGTTTGCTTGATAAACAATTTACTCGGTCCAAAATAGAAATAATAATAATTGCACAATAAACAAACGTAAATATATCGCTGAGTATTCTTGGTGCAGATGTGGTTGATTTTGACTTGATTCTTTAGTGTCCAGGCTTGTGCTTGAGATATCATATCTAATTTTTTTATAATCTTCAGTTTGTTAGCTCAGCATTGAAAGAGCCAAGTTTGGAGTTCGAGCTGTTACATCCGTTGGTTATCAAACGGCGGGTGATCCCTTGTTTTCCTGCAGCAGGACAAAAACCAACAATACTAGAGGATGAGGATTTGGTCCCCGCGGCTCTCGTCAAGTTTAGACCAATCGAAACAGATTCCCTTGTTTTCACAGGGCTGCGCAATGAACTCCTAGAAATTATGGAACCGCTTGTAGTTGATACAGCTGTTGCTCTTGCATGAGCCTGAATCCAGGTACTAGCTTTCCTTGACCGTCTTCAGTTTGGAAACTAAAGCCTTCAGAATCAACCTGTGTTCTCTTGTTTGTGCTGTAACTTCTAGCTGATTACAATTTGAATGAATTTTCACACTTTTATATACGCCCTTTATCAGAGCCTAAAATGTCTAGGTTGTAAACTAAAATAAGTTGATCTGATAAAGAAAAAGTATGCTGGAGTTTGATATTGTCTTTCTTCATTTACAATCATGTGATATGTTGCTAATGGACCAAGACAATGGTTGGTCCAATGGTAAGACAATGGTGCCTTTTGATAAATCTATTGGAGCGTGGTTTTTGTTTTTTGCTTCGTTTGTCCAAAATATTGTGTAATAACACATAATATCTACTTTCTTCCTTGTACAATCTTTTGATCAAACAGTATCATGGACAGCGTTTACACACGATTGGTTCTAAATAAACCCATGTACACGTTAAAGAGAAAACATCTATTCATACATTTGGTCTGTGTATGTTTTTGCTTTCATACAAACAAGAGCATTGAATAATGCACCTCTTGCATGCTACCAATAAACTGCATTTTTTTTTTCTTCTCTTGTTCTAATGGACAATAGCCCAAACAAGTAAATATAAACAGACGATACTCACATGAATTGAAAATAGAAGTTAGGGCGCGTGAAAATCACTTGTGGGGTTTATACAATTATTCAACTCACACGTTTGAATTGATTTTTTCCATGAAGAAAAATGTTCTTACAAAGAACGTGACAATAACACATTTGGAAATTGAATACCAAAGATAACCCCGGATGTAGCACTGAAGGATAGCATCCTATCATATGTATACGTAGAAAAACATGGAATTTATTGGAATAACATTTTAAGAATAACAAAAGTCCGATCTATTGGTGTGAAGGATACAACCATCCCTCAAACCACTTCGCCATCAAATCGAAGTATCCAGACCGGTTATTTTGGTCTGTTTGGTTTGTAAATTTTTTGAACATAAATTAAAATTTGTTTAAATTTTAATTAGAGAAAATACAACAATTTTTTTTTTTAGTTTAACCCGTGAAACAAACAAGGGTAAGCAGCAAGCTCATGTACCCTTTTGAACTGTGTCTAAATTCTAAAGATTTTGATAAGCAAAAAAGGATGACGTTCAAAGTTAATTGTAGCAGAAGCCAACGGCAAAGGGATAATGGAACAAAATTGAAAAAGAACCAAAGGAGACCAAGTAAATTTCAGCCCCTTTTCCTTTTTTCTTTTTCTTTTAATTTAATATGCATATGGATATGAGTAAAGTGACGAAGAAGACTCAGGCTCCGTTCACTTCGCTGATTCGAGTTTTTCTACAGTAAAAAGTTCTCATAAACAATCACATCTAACTTTTTTACTACAGTAAAAAGCTCTCACATAAAATCACATCTAAACTCGAATTCTAAACTCAAATCAGCGAAGTGAACGGAGCCTACTACAGTAAAAAGCTCTCAATTTGCTATGAGTTCTAGTACTATTGTCATTGATAATACTTGTGCAATTGTTATTTATCAGGATCCTACTGTTGATGCAAAATAAGGCTGTGGAAGGAGAAGCACACAAACATAACATCTTGAGCCACAACCACACATTGACAATGTGACAAAATCTCCGATTTTGTTAGCTAATCAAAATTTCTAAGGTGGGGTCTTAGTGGAAATTTCTAGGACATTTTAGGCAAAAAAAAAAAAAAAAAGGTAAAAGGAGTCCCCATGATGAACAGACATGCTCTAAAAGGGTTAATTTGACTCTCTTTTTTTTTTTTTTTTTTTTTTTTTTTTTTTTTTTCTAAAAAGGATTAATTTGACCTTTGTTCTTATGTGCGTGTGATTTTCTTGCTAACCAACTTATGCCTCTTGGCTCATGAACAAGGGATGGTAACATACCACATGGAAAAATCTTTATTGGGATCTTTGATTCCCAAATGAGAATTGGTCCCCATGTGATGCTAAATAATTCAATAAAAGCGCATGTGATTTTTGTGGGTCTAATGACTTTTATCATTACATCTCTGTCAAGTAGGTATTTGTTACAAATTTTCTCAGTTTTTTTTTGCCCCTCTTAAAAAGGACATAAAAATTTCGAAATAATCTCTTCCATACGAACATGGCCTGCTGGGAGGGGACCAGTGGTGAGTTGCTTTCTTATTGAAGAGGCGAAAAATTGACATGAAACAAAAATTAGATGTGTACTTAAAAAAAAAAAAAAAAAAAAAAAACAGATGTTTCGGGAGCATTTTAAACAAAAAGAAAGAACATAATTTTACATGTCGAAATATAATTACGAACTTAAAATATTTTACAAATAGATAAATTAACATGATTATAGAAATTCCTATTCAATTTTATAACATGCGAGTCATTATAAAAATTATTGTGTAATTTCATTTTTTCTAAAGTATTTTTTAAAAAAATTGATGTATTTCAACTCTCCTTTTACAAAAATGCCATGTCGTGTAATTTTATTGACAGCCTTTTTTATGTAATTAGTAGTACTTGAAACTGGTCCGAGATAGAGAATATCGCAACACATTATAGGATATAGGAAAACTAATACTGACTAAAACCCTTTAACTTATACTTATTAAATTATAACCTCTTGACCGAACATAATTAGAATGACCCTATCTCAACTGTTAAAATTTTTCAAAATGCTGATAATGCTCATGAACCAGTAAAAAACAGTTTGATTCCTAAATTCTACATAAAATAACGATTTTACTCTCAAACATCATACATCCAATTTTTTTTCTAGTACTAATTCTATTTTGATGCCAGACTTTTAAAATGTCCCGAAGTTAGTTTTTAAGGTTTTACTACAATATTGATTTTAAAGGAAAAAAAAAAGAGCATTCTACAATATTATGAAAACGTGCACTACCATTATTAGTCTAAAGCAATCTGAAACATCAAAAATTCCATTTATGGAAAACCCCATAATTTCCTAATTTGAGCCGCTTAATTGAAATTTTTTCCTGGTACAAAATGTGACAACTTTGGATAGAGACTGGAATTATAAATTTCTCAACCCGACGACTGGAATAGAATTATATAAAGGGTCTAGATAGCAATAATTTGGCCATTAACCAACCTTCCACTTATATGGTCCATTATTTGATATTGGTCGAGAAATTTAATATAGCTATGAATAACACGAAGAAGTTGAATGACAAATAATTTAAATAAGTTGTTAGCTTATTCTTGTCCGTGGTTAAGTCAATTGAGCAAAACCACTTGACTATAGTCTTAGGTAAGGTCCGACCGAAAAAAAAAAAAAAAAAAAAAAAACCTTTTTTTTTGAAAACCAATTGCCTTTAAAAAAAAAAAAAAAAAAAAAAAACATATTTTGTATATAAGTGATGTTGTGGAAGATAATAGGCTTAATCGGTCAACTGGATTTATTTATTAAAGATATTGGTTACTTTTAATGGGTTTTGATTGCGCTCAATTTATATGACTAAATGGGGTTTTTTTTTTTTTTTTTTTTATTCTTGATACTTATGTTTGTCCGTGTACTTTATTATTTTTATTAGTAGATCCAACAAATGTTAAGGGTCAAATTTCTTTATAATCGATGGTCATTTGTGATTATTTTGGAGTATGTAATTTGTTAAATTTAAAATGAAAATTTCCCCTTTAAAAAACAATAATAACTAATAAGCTTTATCGGACATATTTCAACAGCCGAACAACTATAAAACGATTTGTCAGGTCATCCTTTCTCTTGTTTTTACTTTTGCTTTGTCTCTGAATTCTTCGATTCTTCCTTCGCACATGAGATTTCTTTTTATTTTCTTAATGTTGCTCTATATAGCAGTCAAGTTATAGTAAGAAAACGAATTTCATATCCAATATATCGAAGTTACTCATTTTATGTTACTCACATCAAACATGTGAAGTTACTCATGTAAAACATGTTTATTTACTTATTTTATGTTTTAAAATAAATTTTCGTAATTCTTATAATTTTCTACGATAGAAAATTTCATAAAACTAGAGTACCGATATTTTCATCCTTAATTAACTGCACGTAAGATATTTATTTAAACTATTAACATGAATATTGTGCACTAATTATTTATCGTAATTGTGAAAATAAATAATTATAACAAGAATGAAAAAAATATTTATTTTAGTTGTCTACAAAAAATATTTATCAAAAAATATATTTTAATATTAAAGTAAACATAAATATTTATTAAAAAAATATTTATGTAATATTCAAAATTAATATTTGGTTGTCTAAATATTGGACAGAGATTGAGAAAATACATTGGGCTGAAAAAAAATTGACACAAGGCACACTCCTTCATCAAGGTTTTCTATTATCTCGTCTTTAGAGAAAAGAAGGCACAATCAACAAAGGTTGGAAGGAGAATGTCCCGTTTGGTTCATGGATTAGAACCATGATATTAAAACTATTTTCGATTTACGTGTATTTTTTATGAGAGAAAATACTGTAGCGAATCATGAACCATGATTCGAATCAGAGAACGAATCCTCCAACCAAACGGGCTTGAAAAGATAACTTGTTACCGCACAACAGTTTGTACAGGAAAGGAGAATTACAAAGAAGATCAAGAGGTCAAGAAGCCTTGAAGTAGATTTGTTTTGCCAAATCAATATGAACAAATTTATATATTAAGGGGATGTTTCGTACCTAGATTCGTTCCCTGATTCGAATCATGGTTTGTGGTTCGCTACAGTATTTTCTCTCATAAAAAATACACGTAAATCGAAAATAATTCTAATCACATGGTTTTAATCCATGAATCAAACGTGTCACGCCCCCCAAACGGGGTGGGTGACTTGGAGCTCGATTATCGATTAATAAAGCAGATTCCTAGACGAGCCTTACTCAACTGCATTAGAATATAAATTAAACTACCACAGAATTCCGGAGCCTCTGACACACAGGGCTCCACCCCACAAGACATACAGTATCGTACATACATGCTAATGTAAATAATCATTACAACAGACATCAACCACAGTCTAGTTAATCCAAATATTACATAAGTTTACAGAATTTCTCAATTCCTTACATTTTCTTCCAGAAGATGACCACAATCCTCACTTGATTCCAACAACAGCACAACTCAGCTGCTCCGTAGCAAATATCCAGCTACTGTGCACCATTCCTAGAGTCTCCTGGGAAGGGTTTAATACATTTGAAATATAAAACGTGGGCGAAAGGCCCAGTAGGATATAATTTGAAATTACTTTAAAATAAATGAATAATAAGTGAGCGAGGAAATAAATAAAGGAATAGGTAAATAAAATAAGGCATACAGCCCCGACAGAACA